GAACGGTATCTTAATTTGAAACATTCGTTAACTTGGCAAGAGGTATATTATTATCATTATTCCTACCTACGCGTAGCAAGAGTTGCTACTCGTACACTTTGATATATCTATGTATAAGTTTTAGATACCAGGTATGAAATAATCAAATCTGTGATAAAAGAATGTTTTTGTTTTGTAAGCTTCTTCACTTAGGGCAGTTATGTTAGTTTAAGAGCTGTTGTAAAATGTGCTTTATAAATAATAATTAATTTCATTACAACATGTATTGGTAACAATCCTCTGTTAAAACTAATGTCCAAATAACTGTATCTTACTTCTATTCTCAATGACCGTGTAGTGTAGGACAGCGCCGCGAGAATTCCATCGGCATCGAAAGCAAGTTTTTTGACTTGCCTAGATAGCCGAGCGGTCTAGCGCGTTCCTGCACTGCTAGGAGACAGATTCCGAAGGTCGAGAGTTCATCCCCGGGCTGGGGCGGAAGTGGGTATCCATGTAAAAGTGAATTTCTTTGTGCTTTCTATATATATATATATATATATATATATATATATATATATATATATATATATATATATATATATATATATATATATATATATATATATATTATGTGAATTTTAAGACGAAGTCTTAACAATAATTAATTATCATATATCATATTTACTGATTTTCCTTTGATTAAACAGATATACCCAGTACAGTACAGGACAGGTGTTTTCCTGCCTGGGACTCGTGTGCTTGCTGATCGCCGTTCTTGTTCTTGGAATAAAAATTCGATTGAATAAAGTATCATTGCTTTATTTGTCTGCTGGCTTCTCATTTGCTGGAGGTAAATATTATTTATATCATATTTTATAACATTGAATAAGCATCTAGATTGACTATCTCGTAAATTTAAAGGTTCATAAAAACTTATAAATATACGGATTGTCTTTGATAGTGAAAGTATATATGTTTCTTCTTTCAGCGCTCTGTATCTTGATATCCATCTCCGTGTTTGCTAAGGAGACTTCCATGCTCGTTGAACATCGCTTTCGCTTTCACTTTGCATTTGCTTTTTGTACCATTGCGATGATTGTATCAATTGCTGCTGGAATCCTCCAAATCATTACGGGGTCGAAAAAATAATTTTGAAAAATTAATCCTGATCTGCATGCATTCAATTTATATTGATTTAAGAAATATAAATTTTAAGACACTTAGGGTTGGCAAAAATATAATTTGTACAGGTCTGGGGTTATGTATTTTGAAAAACCCTGAATATTGCAAGGACATTATTAGCTTAAATATCTTACTTAGATTTATTCATAGATTCAGTTTTATTTGTAGTTGATAACAATGCTACAAAACAAGATTAATTCTACAATTTTATTGGTGTGATCTATATTCTCTGGTCATCTGCATAAATGTCATCAATGAACAATCAATATGAAAGATTTTATGTAGTTTGAGACACTTTTCTAAATGCATAATTATTCATAATTCCATGATTAAAATGATTTCATTACATTTTGAGAGCATACCCTTGCAATTGATTGAATTACTGTGGCCTGTTCGTGCATTTTATACAAATATTATTATTATTTTACAAAATACTAAAGGGGGATGTAAAGAAAATTTGCGATGAATATACATTGCATTTGTATTAAAAGTCTATTTAAAATCTTAAAGCTGTGTTTACTTTATTTCTTTTTTATTATTTTATTGAATATCTGTTTAAAAAATCGCTCTCTTTATTCAATAAATATACGAGGGTCGAAAGAAAAATTAGCGGACATGTAATATTGTGAACTTTCCATCAAACCAGTTAATCTCTCCAGACATAGATGAATAAAATACGCAAAATCAAAACACTTTGTTAGTTTATTGTCTTCCCAATGTAGTTTTTGGATACCAGGTATCCCAACAATCTATTGAAATTCCCATGGGTACCAATTGCGCTCCATTATTAGCGGACCTATTTCTATATTCATATGAAGCAGAATTTGTGCAAAATCTTATGCGTGAAAAGAAGAAAACACTTGCTGTGGCCTTCAACTCGACATTCAGATATATCGATGGCGTATTGTCAATTAACAATGGTGATTTCCATTCCTACATCGATACGATATACCCGGTGAGCTTGAGATGAAAGGTACCACAGAGTCTGACACATGTGTTTTATACTTGGATATTTTTCTTGAATAAGATAATGATGGTAATCTAACAACCAAGTTATATGATAAACGTGATGACTTTAACTTTTCTATTGTCAACTTCTTCCCTTACTTATGCACTGATATACCTTCGTCAACTGCATACGGATGTATATATCTCAGTTGATTCGATATGCAAGAACTTGTTCTACGTATGAACAATTTCTAAAACGAGGTAAATTATTCACAAGCAGGTTGATGACACAAGAATATCAGTAGTCTCGTTTAAAATCATCATTTCGTAAGTTTTATTGATTTAGTCAGCAAATACAATTTATCATTGAGTCAAATGCTGACTGACGTTTTTCATTCTTATTGTTAATCCATCATTTATACACTGAGTTGAAAACGGATTTTCCCGTTATCTCCTGATAATGACAAGGAGCACACGACGGGTGTGACCGGTAGGCAGGGGATGCTTACTCCTCCATCGCACCTGATCCAACCTCTGATGGTTCAGAGGTCCATGTTTGCTCTGCTCTTGTTTTGTTTTGTTGTATTGATTTTGAGATTGAATACTGTTCGTTATCTCCATATACTTTTTTATATACATAATTTGAATTTCTTCTAATTTGATCTTACGAATATATCATTGTTAAAATAGCTTCTTCTTCCTTTTTTTTTATTTTTCTGATATATTTTTGTGGCTGAAGAGATATTGTTGTGAGGTGTGTTGTATTTGTATTGTTTCGTCATGTATATAATTAGTAACATATAGAAGTTTTTTAACATTCCAGATTGGTCATTTTTCTAGAACATATGAGTATGACCAAGTTGTTTTTTTAATATCATGTCTTAACAACTTCTAGAATATTCTAGATTTATGACAATGTATAAATACCTTGTCAATTGTAAGCACGATTATTTATTTATCGTATAGGCCTAAGCACCATTGACACACAAGTAAGATTGGCGTACCAAGAGACTGGGATATATTTTCACTGGGACATTATGTGTGCAGCGACGGACACTCTGTTGTATGTATTTGTAGATTCTTGCTAAGTTTGTTCTTTATGTTTAATGTATATTACTGTAAATAAATTATTGTTAATTTTAAACTCTGTGATTGATCTTTGCTGGCAATTAGGGTTATTCTGACCCATAAAAATATAGGCATAACAGTTCCAAATAATGGCCCTAGTAGAATATTCTTAAGTTTTTTTCCGAAATATAAATGAACAAATTGATGAAAGGTACATACATGAATCACATAAAAAATTGCAATAAGAATGCATGCAAACGTAATGGTCTATACCATGAATGCCGTCTGCATAGCACAGTCGTTAAAGGTCTAATTAGTGTCACAGGGGTGTCGTGCCCTACCCCTGTTATAGCCACACATTTCCCTATATCATTTTATATAACTCGATTAACACTAGACCTGGGGTTTGCAGGTAAATAAATGGGAAATTGTCTTTGAGCAGTTTTTATACATTTATTTTCCCTGGAGAGAATGTAAACAAAATCTCAATCCATTGCAAAAGAACATGAATTGATGTTTATTTTACTCAATGATAGAAGCTGGGCAACAACTATTATCGATCTATGTTGGAACGGAAATTGGATAAGGTGAAAAATGACACTTCTAAAAAAGAATGCAATGCGTAAAATAGCAATGCAGTCTCTACGTGCATCTTTAGAAATCGATTATTCTTACATTACATTCCCAACGTTCTTAGAAATACCTTTAAATTTCCATTTTCAATTACTGTATGCGTAGTTAAAAAAGCGGGCTTCATATTAAGTGGCCTTGACGCAGTCAATGATGCGCTAATTTATGAATACCGCTACGAAATCATTTACATATACAATACACAGAATATGTGTAGCGCTAATTCATGATTACACAAACAATTCTATACCCAGTGATTAGACTAAATTTTGAATACTCCAAATTAAGTACACGTACAGTATTTACGAGGTTAGAACATAATTTGTTTAAAAAAAGTAATTTACACCACCGGACAATACTTGAATTTTAATATTAATAATAATATAGGCGCTTAAAATTTTTCAAAGATTTTGGCGTTCTTGGTTTTCAAAGGTTATGTACAGAATATATGCCGTCAAATAGTGAAAACATTTAGTTTAGCTTTAGCAAATATCATTAATATCATGAAATAAAGATTATTTGATATGGGAAATGAAATGTTAGTTTAAGAGTTGTTGTAAAATGTGCTTTATAAATAATAATTAATTTCATTACAACATGTATTGGTAACAATCCTCTGTTAAAACTAATGTCCAAATAACTGTATCTCACTTCTATTCTCAATGACCGTGTGGTGTAGGGCAGCGCCGCGAGAATTCCATCGGCATCGAAAGCAGTCACAAGTTTATACTTGCCTAGATAGCCGAGCGGTCTAGCGCGCTGTTCCTGCACTGCTAGGAGACAGATTCCGAAGGTCGAGAGTTCAACCCCGGGCTGGGGCGGAAGTGGGTATCCATGTAAAAGTGAATTTCTTTGTGCTTTCTATATATATATATATATATATATATATATATTATATATATATATATATATATATATATATATATATGTAATGGAATGTAAATAAATCTCGTATTTAAAAAAAAAGTAACTCAAAATTTACGTGTATCTTAATCTTACATTTTAAATCAGGTCAAATTTTATTTTTTTCTCTTTGTGACTTTATTTAACTTAATTATCACAAAATAAAAAAAAATGAAAGTTGTCTCGTTAATGACTAAGTGAATGCTTCCTTGTTTATGAACTTTTCAGACTTAAGATTAATTGCATTCGGGCTTGACATTGCAGGAAACAAAATGAAATTTTTAAAGGAAGTCATTCAGCTTTTTTTTCCTACTGAACCTTTTTAAGTTTGCCGAAGACGTACAAAACCGAAATTAAATAACGTGCTTGGCAGAATGGATCTGTTGACAGTACGTATGATTTTATTTGTTGTTTTATGTTTAAGGAGGAACAGGACCTTTACCTGAAAAGTTCCTGTCAATGATTTTTTTTCGTATTTTTTATATTACTAATTTAATATATACTAAACATTTTAAAACGGTCCTGTCATGGAATTTCTTGACGTATTAAAAAATATCGCCCCACAAATACCGCCCTGTTTAGAGTTTGTATGGAGTTTAGATACTTCATGTTTACGGGCCCATAACGGAGTCCATAATGCGAATTTTTACGCCCAAACGATAAATGTGATAGATAACTCTATATACTCAAATATTTCAGAATATTTATAGTGTTTAAATTATCTAAAAGCAATTTTTTTGATTTTACATAGCATTTGGGTGGGATAATTTCTGCATTTTCAAGGCAGCTTCAACGACAAAAACCTCATTTGGAAAAAATTCTGTCAATAAATATTCGTAAATTTACGATTGAATGTCAGTCCTTCATCGTAATTATTTACTGCATAAATATCACAGGGTGAAGCTTACCTCAATATCGCACAGGACATCGTTGAATTAGGCGTTAGCATGATAAAAACGCTTCACGTTTGTATTTTCCGAGTGCTGGAAATCAACGGTGACGTCAAACGAAAACATAAACATTCAAAATTATCTAAAGAATCTCTGTTACTAAACACGAAAACATATTAATTAAAAAAATCTGCTTCAGAAATTTATCACGATACATTGACTGTGACCTGTATATTATGAAATAAAACTGATCTTGACGGGCGTGTGTACTTGATCTCGCTGCACTGAGAATTCAAACACTACGTCTATGACGTCACTGACGTCAGACTGCAGGGTAAAGAGAAACAAATGTGTGATTGGGCAACTTCATAATATCTAAATGATGGCAAGATCTTTAAACATTTAATTAATAATTATTTCTAAATTAAATGTTTTAAAAGCAATTTTAGACTTTAGAATAAAATTACACAATAACTGTTGATTTTAACAACGTTTATCATGTATATCATCATCGATTATGACGTAATATGTCTTTTTAGTCATGTGACATGTGCCCTGTCTCCCCTTAAAGGAAGCATATGATTATAGGTTATGCCCTTTAACTAGTATCTAACCATTTTCAATATTAAATATTATACAATACCGGCCGGACACATCCTATTAAAAAGCGAACCCGAAGCGAAACCTGGGTTCGCTCTTTGGTTCAGCTTTGGATTCGCTCGGGGTCCTCTAGGGCTGACTCCGAAGCGGTCCAAGAATGAACGCCAAAAGACCCCCCCCCCTCCGTATTGTGAACATATGCTTCTCCGTGTATCTTTTTTGTAATTTTACTTGGATATTAAACTAGGTAAATTGCAAGAAAATCCTGACTTTTTAGCTCACCTGAGCCGAAGGCTCAAATGAGCTTTTCGAGCATTTTGTCCGTCGTCCGTCCGTCCGTCTAGCTGTCTGTCTGTCTGTTCGTTCGTCTGTCCGTCTGTAAACTTTTCACATTTTCGACTTCTTCTCAAGAACCACTGGGCTAATTTTGACCAAAATTGGTACAAAGCATCCTTGGGTGAAAGGAAAAGGGCCAAGTCCCGTCACAAGGGGAGATAATCAAGAAAACACAAAAATAGGGTGGGGTCATTAAAAAATCTTCTTCTCAAGAACCACTGGGCCAGAAAAGCTGAAACGTATGTGGAAGCATTCTGGGGTAGTGTAAATTGTAAATTGTTCAAATCATGACCCCCGCGGGAAGGGCGGGGCCACTATAAGGAAGCAAAGTTTTACAAAGAAATATACAGGAAAAATCTTTGTAAATCTTCTTCTCAAGAACCACTGGGCCAGAAAAGCTGAAACTTATATGGAAGCATCCTGGGGTAGTGTAGATTCTAAATTGTTCAAATCATGACCCCCAGGGGAAGGGTGGGGCCACTATGGGGAATCAAAGTTTTACAAAGAAATATATAGGAAAAATCTTTGAAAATCTTCTTCTCAAGAACCACTGAGCCAGAAAAACTGAAACTTATGTGGAAGCATCCTGGGGTAGTGTAAATTCTAAATTGTGCAAATCATGACCCCCAGGGGAAGGGCGGGGCCACTATGGGGAATCAAAGTTTTACATAGAAATATATTGGAAAAAATCTTTGAAAATCTTCTTCTCAAGAACCAATGGACAAGAAAAGCTGAAACTTATGTGGAAGCATCCTGGGGTAGTGTAAATTCTAAATTGTTCAAATCATGACCCCAGGGGAAGGGCGGGGCGATAATGGTGAATCAAAGTTTTACATGTAAAAATATATAGGAAAAATCTTTGAAAATCTTCTTCTCAAGAACCACTGGGCCAGAAATGCTGAAACATATGTGCACATGGAAGGAAACTGGGGTAGTATAGATTTCAAAATGTCTAAATTATGATCAGTGGGGTAGGGTGGGGATGCATTATGTATTACAAGGAGGAAATCTGGTAAAGAACAGAATGGTCAAAGCTTCTCAGGTGAGCGATGTGGCCCATGGGCCTCTTGTTTTCTAGATATTACGGTCACTTGTCATTGCACTTCTTGTTACGAGGATCGAAGGTGTCAAGCATCAACAAAGTGGTAAGAAACTGATATAATACCAATTTAACTCAAAATGTTAAAAAAAAAATCAAAGTGCTGAAAGTATTCTCGGGAGTTGAACATTGTGTAAAATAAAATCTTTGATCGGGAGGTTAAGTGAGTGAACAATATTATCATTTCAAATACAGACAACTGTTTCAGATTTTTTGTAATGCAACAATCTTGAGAAAGACATTCAGAGACATTGATTAGCAAAACATGCATGGGTCATAATGCTTGCCTGCCTACATTAGTCATTTTTTATACCCTCTGCTTGAAAAGCGGGAGGGTATTTATTAATCGGGATGTCCGTCCATCTGTGTGTTACGCTTTAGGTATACCCATATCTTATCTGCAACTCCTCTTAAACCACTGAATGAAAATTTCATAGATTCTTTTCTATATATTGCCGTTGTGCACCTTGTATTACTTTTTCATCCTACAAATATTTTGGGTTTCCCATTACAAAACATGGACACTGCCATTCTATTCATATTAGTTATTACAGGCGGTTGTTCATTTATAAAATCCACTGCTCACAGTACCTCTAGTTCATCTTCAAATTTGTAATATATTTTTCCTTGGCACTTTTACACATGTGTTATGAAAATTTCAGTTTCACAGGAATAATATCAATGTTAATAAAATGAGGATTTTCACACAACATCCTATTAAGAGCTAACAGGTTTGTCATATAAAACTCTCTGAATATAAATGTATTTCAATTACATGAACATTATACATGAAGTACGTCAGAATTTATTTATTATTTTTAATATTGCATAGAAAAAAGCAATACCAAGTTAAAAACAAATATTTAATTACCAAACATAAAAACAGTGGTATATGTGAGAGTTTGTGTGCGTACAAATTATCTTTTATGTAAATGAGGTTTTCCTTTTACTTTAACAGAGTACTAGATTTACCGCTTTTTGGCAGGTGATGCTGCTGATTAAGTACTGTAGATCACTAAATTTTCGCGACACCTTATTTTCGCGAGAAAGTAACTGACTCTTGATTAGCGAGACAAAATTTTCGCGAATAGTGGTTATTGCTCTATATAATCTTAAGGAATACTATTATACGCGAGAATTAAATTTTCGTGAGCACGCTGTCTCGCGTAATTACGCGAAAATAAAGTTCTCGCGAATAAAAAGTGATTTACAGTAATAAATACGCATGCTTACTAAAGTTTTTATGCATGAATGAATTCATTTAAACCAAGAAAAACTTTATGCGCGATTCAAATCAATGGATCCGCCACTTTGTTGTGCACGTGGAACTGATTAGTTTTAAACAGATGCGTGCTTTGATGAACCTGGATGTGATAACTGTGACCCTTTCTCCCCTAGGAATATAAATTTTGTCAAGCGGTGATTTTGAGATTCGGTGATTGGATCTGAATTTATTTGTATTTGTCTTTAAAATGTTATATAAAATAAATTCTCTCTGAGTCATTATACTGGATTACAACTAAATTATTTCGTAAATTAATAAAAACACTTATTGGAATTAAAATGTATTTGTTTATAGAGCAAAGTGCAACATGAATTCAACGTGCTTTCAACATTTGTATACCCCAAAAATTTCAATTAAAGTTCAACCTAATTTCAACCAATCTTAAACCTTTTTTTTTGCAATGCTGATATTTGACAGTGAAACAACTTTGAAGCTTCAACGTTTTGACAACTTTTATTTGAATCCAAATTCAACCATTTATCAACAATATGTACAACCCATATTCAACGTCCATTAAACGTTGAAAGTTGACGTTGAAACAACGTTGATGTACAAACGTTGCCTCATCTTTCATATGCAATCAAAATTCAACGTTGAATCAACGTTGAAAAGCCTGCTGGGAAAATGCAATAACCCTTCACTGATTTTGTAGCTCTATCAGGAAATGGTACATTTTTGTGTTGAATATACGTCAGTGATATAGATGAACCCGACGAACAGCTATACTGAAACATAATACCAATAAAATTTGTAAACATGGCATAAAACGGACCCCTCGACATTCCAGAGGTGTGATAAGGTGTTCAAGAGTATTCTTGATGACCACTCACACCCACTGCAAACCCAAGGTGTAGATACATGTGTGAGAGCTTAGAAAACCAAGATCTAGATCTTGTGTCACGATAGGCGTTTGCACGATAAAAAATGGCTTCAGTTCAAATTGGCTCTGAGTATTGAGATAATATCTAAAATTGAATCTTAATGTGAGTAAAAAAATTCCAATTAGACCTAAAACAGTAAACTATACAATCAATCATTTCAGACAGAGTGCTTTAACAAAATGCTGATTGATTTCCAATCAATTGTGAATAGCTTTCGACTAACAAAGGCAGCATTTTTTCTATATAATGATAGAACTTAGGGGAGGAGGTGGTTCTTCATGGTGATAAATTAGATCAATTGGATTTGATCTTATCCATCATGAAATAAGATTAGCGTACCTTGAGTTGAAACTGAGATTATTAGATACATGCACATATTCTGAAATTCCGATTTGTTCTGTATTAGTAATTATGAAAACATAACAGGGCTTATGCTTTTTCATGTCTCGATTTTGTGTTCGTTCTACTTTTTATGTTTTATAGAAAAAGAATCTCAATCTATATTTCCAGGACATTACTGTGTATCTGTGCTGTATTGTTTATGTGCCTGTACATGTGTGTGTGTTTCTATATGTATCTTTGACTGATGTGTCCTTTAAATTAGACTGTGAGCTGTATTGTTGCAAGTAATTCTATGTTACTTTATATAGTGCTGCATGTTTTCATTGTTTTACTGTTATGTATATATTAAAAATGTCAGTCAAAAGCTTATTAGAGCTTGTGTTACTTTAACTACCATACTGACTTCAAATAAAGCTTATCTATCTTATTAAACATGAACGTATTTTTGAGCAATAATACTGATATTTGTATAATTTAGGCCCTCATCAGACCACTCCACATTATCAAAAATGTAAGTATGGACTGCATGGCGCAGATAAGGGTATCCCTACATTATGTCATAAATACCGACAAAGCTGCCCTAGAGGATACAACTGTATACAAACATTTCACAATCAGTCCGGCTATTGCTGTAAAGGTAAGTTTCAGATGTATATCACGCGGGTATGTTAAGGAGGCATATAAGTCATTTCTAGGAAAATTTAGACTTTTTAATGAAAATTAAGTTTGATAAATTACCCAAACCGCTGATAAACGTAAACTGTCATTTACTATTGCAAACAGATAAAAGAGTGTCTAACACAAAGACCTACACCACCGCCAAGGTATCATGAGACTTCTATTAATAGCGATATTTTCCTTAATAAAAAAGCTAAAAGAACAACAATGCTCCGGAGTTTAATACTTTCTTTGAATAAACAATATAGTTGAAAAACATCTATTTTGCCTGAAAAGTGCTGCTAGAATCCCACTGTCCTGTCAATAAAATATTTATTCCATATATTCGCACAAAACCTTACCCTATGTTTTGAAATTTATCCATATGAACAGAGATTTTTCGTAAAACCATGTTTAACTTGTGATTTTTCCCCATTGAGAGCCTCAGTCTCAAATGAGATGAAGTTCAAGGTCACGTAATCATAGAAGTTTGTGTCTTTTCATAGTTCAGACGCGAGTGATGTTAGCCGTAATTCTTTTTATTAATTTCATCAATCATTTAAAATTCCACTGGTTTTGTAACCAGTGGTTTGTAGCAATATTGCTAGTACAGAACACATGTTCTTTGCACGTTTCCCATGTGGGAATCTGTAGCATTTAACGTTGCATTTCTTTCAACATGTGTTGATTCAGACGTGCAGCACTTGATTCAGTGACGTCACTGATGCAGGGGCTGTAGCCCCGTGCGCCATTTTGCTTTCACGCCATGTGGTGTGGAGTAAGCGTTTGAGAGAATCTTAGAATATCATTGCATTCTTTCTTCGCGGCATGGCTAATGAGCCGGGACCATCATCGCAAATGCGAGAATCCACCAGCTATGATCTAGTAGACCAAGTTGACGAGGATGCCATTTGTGACGATAACACGATGCATTCGAAGTCGAAGCAGCAAACTGAAAATATGAGTGGTATGTTTGACATTTTCATGCGTAAATTTGCAGATATGTCTAAGACCATGACTTCAGTTCAAAAGGAACTTATTGCTTTGAAGTCTGACCGGTCTTCAACGGATACAAATCCGGACGTTTCGAGGAAACGCGGACAGAATAAGAGTAGTTCGCCACCTCGCAAGAAAACGAAAACGTCTCAAGCATGCATTCGTCCTTCTCACGAACTTAGTGATGATGACTCTGATGTAGAAAATTCAGACAAATCGGATGCCGATGAAGCACTTAATTCCCTTATTGAGGGAGACGAAAGTATTCATGATTCGTCAGATGATGATGAGGTTTCTTCTCTTAATGAACTGTCCGAATTTTTCGGTGATGAAGACAGGGCGAGCGAACCGTTAAGTTCTGAACTGGCAAAGATTATGGAGAAAATGTTCATGACGAAAACTAACTCGGAGAAAATTAAAGAAATCTCCAACAAGTATGATAGGCCGAAAAACATTATCAATGTCTCTGCGCCAAAAGTCAACAAAGTCATTTAGGAAAACATGTCATCCAAAAACAGAGCAAGCGATATTAAATTGCAGACTAGGCAGAATCTCATAGGAAAAGCCATGATTCCGACATTGAGACTTTTTGACATGCTTATTAATTGCAACTCGGAAAAAGGGATTGGTTGATGTAAAGAAGGCAAAACAGCTGTGTGGTGACATCCTGAATTAAGTTTCAGATATGTGTTTTCCACAATTTGTCCTACAAGAGGCGGGAACAAATTATCCAGCCAGAGAAAAACAAAAAATTTGTAAGTTTGTGTTCCGCAGAGAGCTCTTCATAAAATTTATTCGGAGACGACTTGGGCAGTCAAGTTAAGAATGTGCTAGAGGCAAAGAAACTGGCTCAAAAGATAGGAAATAAAGATTTTGGTGGAAAATACAGAATTCCCAAAGTGTCCCATAGCTACGGGAAGAAGCCAAGGTACGGGACCGGAAAAGGCAATTCTTTTTTGGCCAAACAGTTCAGCTTCAACAAGAAAAAGAAGAAAGGAGAGTCAAATCAGTACATTGTAGATACACATGATGTTAGTATGTCTAATAATTGTACAATTGTAGATCAATTTGTATTGAAAAACACGCCTGAAAATTTTACGAACAGAGATTTTTCGTAAAACCATGTTTAACTTGTGATTCTAGCAGTACGTTCCAAGTTTGTCAGAGGGCAAACTTTAACTTGTGATTCTAGCAACACGTTCCAAGTTTGTCAGAGGGCAAACCTTCCATCTGTGCAAATCTTATGTTTTGAAATATCCAGCTTATTGTTGTTCTATCGCATTTTTTTGTCACGAATGACAGAGGAAAGGCCGACCGAGATACGTATATAGCAAACTGTCTTCAAAAGAGAAGATCATCGATGAAAATAAATTAGCATGCCTGTATAATTAACTGAACTCCGTATGAATTTCACATAATATTCACGATATTTCCTTTTAAACTCCATTTAACGTATCTTTGTACATGTCGTCTAAGCTAAATTCTCTTTACACAACACGATCAATTCCCAATTTACTTGATGTACACACATGACGTCATCGGTGGTAGATTTTAATCAAAATGACAGATAAAGTATAAGATAAAAATGTTTACATGTTTCTATTCATTTTCTGGAGTTAAATTACATCTCTAAATACAAATATTACGAAAACTTGTGTTCTAAAATTGAAGTCATCTTGCCTACTATAACGTCATAATGTAGCACTGATTTAGACAAGGTAGAATATTTTGTATGCTTCCTTATTACCCCTGCGCAGATAGTGGTCTTTGTTTTTTGATGACGTAATAAGGTGAAGTTAGGGTAGATCATTGATAAATATTAGATTAATAGAATCATTCATTACTACGAGTGTGGGATAGTGAAATTCCACAGAGGGGACAAGATTCACGGTCTTTGCCGTAAAACTTGGCCCCGAGGTGGAATTTCACTATTTCCACACGAGTATGTAATAAATGATTATTTTTCTCGCATTATCTCCAAAAAAGGCCTGTCAATGACGTCGCCATGATATGGCTAAAAATATAAAAAAAAAAGAAATTCTTTTAATTTCCCATCTAATTTAAAATCTACATAGGCAATTTAGCCACATATGATCCACATATGCATTGCCTTTCATATGAAGATCATATGTGGATCATATGAGAATCATATGTATATAAAATCATATGAGAATCATATGTGGCCAATTATATGAGAATCATATGATCATACATATGTTAATCATATGAAGTAATATACATATGATTCTCATATGAAAGGTCCTACATATGAGAATCATATGTATATTTCGACAGTGGTCATATGAGAATCATATGAAACTGATCATATGAGAATCATATGAAACCATATTCACTAATTTGCCCTTGTTATACTCAGGTAAAAATCATATGAATATTTTGACAGTGATCATATGAGAATCATATGACACAGTGATCATATGAGAATCATATGAAACAGTATTCACTAATTTGCCCTTGGTATACTCAAGTAAAATTGCAATTTCAATAATATATCTCAATAGTAATTTAAATGTACATCAATTTCAAAAGAACTTGTTAGCAATAACGTGTTAAGTTCTACTCTGTTTAACAGCTACCCCCTCCCCCCTTTTCCCTTATATAAAAAAAGCTTTCACAATTTTCTTTTTGTGTAATAATGCATATCCCAGACAAAATTGATAAAGAATAAATTTATTTGCTTTTTATTTCAAATCTTTTGGGTTTGGGTTTATTACTTGAGTAAATTAAAAAAAAAAAATCCGTATTTTCCCCGGACCGGTTTTGACTTCTATCGGATGAAAGTGACGTCATGTTTGACGTCACTGCTGCAGCAGAAGTGCTGGGTGTTGGAAAAAGTAAGTAGGACCTAATCTCCAAACAATTTTTTAAAGACCTTTATTTCATATTGTTTAAATATCGTTTCATTACGGTTACAGGTTCGTATGAACTTATTTCTGTAATACTCTCAACACTTGTAATTGTTAAATTAATGCATTTCGTATTTTACCTACATAACGTTAATGATCTGTAAGTAATTTTGGATAAATTTGTTTTTGAATGGATGTAAACATTACAATTTACATGTTAGGCTAAACATGCTAAAGGCATTACTTTGTTTTCTTTTTGTTTTGACTTTTGTTACGTACTGATTTGAAAGTGAAAGTAGAAACCCTGTATAGCAGTTTGGCGTTTTTGTATGTTGAGATCGTTATCAAGTAGATTCTTTCATCAACGTAATGACAAATGTTTGTTTTTATGGCCTATAGATGCATTCAACAACTTGAGTTCAGTGTCACCGTGCTGCTTTTTTATTAAGCCCAAGATGCCCAAAACTGATAAGACTGGCGATTGATCCAAAAGACGATTGCATCATCACAATACTAAAGGTAAAAAGAAATACTTGCAATAAAAAATCAAAGTGTACATCTGTAATGACTCCTTTATGACGAAATATTTCTTGATAATTTCTTTTTGTTCCTTTATAATTCTACATTGTTTGCATGACTTCATAAAAAATAAATTCAACTCAATAATATAGAAGCTGTATTCTACATTTTGAAACTATTTTAATCCAATGCACTTTTAAAATATGGTAAGTATGAATAGAATACTGTAAAATCACATATTTTCGTGGGGTCAAATTTTCGTGGTTTGAGGAAAAAATGTTGGTTCAGGGGGATTTGATTTCGTGGAATGCTGAAAAACTTTGTAGTAGTTGTGCATTTGAAAATTTACATTTCGTGGTGGACATAAAAGCAAAGGGTCTCTTCATACCACGAAATTAACGAAAATTTGGGGACGAAAATAAGTGATATCACAGTATGCTGGCTTTAAAAGCTAATAAGCTATGAAACTATACAATAACTTCAGGTGGTAAATTGAATTTTTGAATTTCAGCAAAAAATTAATAACAGTGGCAACTTTCAAGGTACACATTTGCATGTGTGCCACAAAAGCTGGATCCACATATTCAATGTTGAAAGTACATCAGATAGCTAATCCATTGAATATTTACGTCTATGTATTCATTGACTGACATTTATAAAAAAAAATTCCAATACTAATCAGAGAACCATAGTGTAAATATTTAAGAATTTGAGAATTTCAAACTTGTTATAATCTCTCTTTTTTGTAGTTTAAGTTTTAGTTATGCTTAGAAAATATCTACTGTGTTAATATTGGTTTTACAGGTTCAATATACAGGCAGCTCTTGCATGGAAAAAATCCATAAGATCTAGGCTTGATTTCAAAGTTAAGGTAACTATCACACTGTTTAAAGGCTTTTTATATTCTTCCCAACAAAGTTTCCTACTTGTTGTAATTTGTTTTGTAGTAATATATTTGTGTCAGAATCTTCTTAATTTTTGGCAATAATACTATTTGAACATTCCAAATTCAATTGACAAAAAAAAAAATTTCTTTTTTATGATTTTAATATGAAGCATATCTTCCAATAGTGTAATTGTCTTGCAAAATTTAATTCAATTGTCAAAGTAACCCTAATGCAATTAAATACTATGTAAACTAAGTTAACTATTTTTATTACCATTTTCTATCTCATCAAATTTCCAAAGTTTTCACCATAGTAAATCAAAGTTCCAAAGCTTTTCACCATGTAATTCAAAGTTCCAAAGTTTTCACCATAGTAAATCAAAGTTTCAAAGTTTTCACCGTAGTAAATCAAATTCCAAAGTTTTTACTTATATAAATCAAAGTTCCAAAGTTTTCGCCATAGTAAATCAAAATTCCAAAGCTTTCCTTTAGTAAATCAAAGTTCCAAAGTTTTCACTGTAGTAAATGTAAATTCTAAATTGTTCACCATGTAAATGGGGTTAAGTTGGGGCCATAGTAAATCAAAGTTTTATATAAAATTTATAGGAAAAAATCGTTTTTCACCAAGTAAACAAAGTTCCAAAGTTTTCGCCATAGTAAATCAAAGCATCCAAAGTTTTCGCCATAGTGAATCAAATTATTAAAGTTTCAATAGTAAATCAAATTATGCTAATAATAGGGTTCCAAATTTTTTAAAGCTAAACAAAGTTCCAAAGTTTTTCAGGTGTAAATTAAAGTTCCAATTCTTTTTTTGTAATTACTTTAACAACTTAAATATTTTAATTGTTAATAATTATTTATAATCAAAATTAAATATATTTAGATAAATACTGCTTATTTATCGGTGAAAGAGACGATTTTAACATTAAAACAATTTCTTGTACTTTGTTCTATTTGGGCTTTCATATTTCACAGGTGTTTTTGTGAAAACAATTCTACTTTTGAATCTTTGAAATTTGAAATTTGAAATTTATATAATGTGCAGAATTGGAAGCAAAACCATAATCTTAAGGGTTTATAGTGCTTAAAGTTCCAATTTTTTCTTTAATAAATCAAACTTCCAGGTGTTTCCTAGTAAATCAAAGTTCCAAAGTTTTCACCATAGTAAATCAAAGTTCCAAAGTTTTACTTTGTAAATAGAGAAATTTTAAAGTTTTCCAAAGTAAATCAAAGTTCAAAGTTTCCACACATTGTAAATCAAAGTTCCAAAGTTTTCACCATAGTAAATCAAAGATAAAAGTTTTCACCATAGTTTATCAATAAAGTTATGTTATTATTTACTGCTAATTATTTTTGAAAATAGTTTATAGTTTACTATAGTATTTTTTTGTTAGGGAAAAAAAAATGCTTTTTATAATTTTATTATGAAGCATATCTTCCAACAGTGTCTTGCAAAATACATCATAGGATTTCACAAAACACCTTGTATAACATATATAACTTTAGTTTTATCTCGTATTATATCTGTGTCGGTGAATTTGGAATAAATTTGTTCGCTGATGATGTTACTTTAATATAACTTGAAGAATTAGTTTTGTAATTTAAGAATTATTTTATTTTTATTTTTGAAATTTCTGTAGAGACCATTCTGTGCCATAAAGAAATTGTTCAGGAAGGGGAGAACTGGTGGATTTTTTTTTGATACCAGTTCAAAGAGATTTTCAAAATGGTCAGATCAGAGGGAGGACAACTGAAAATATTGAAAAGATACAGAAGGAAAAAGAACCTGGAAATATAAGGAATAATTATGAAATGTAGAGGATGTACACAATCTTGTCTGAATTTAACCTGTAAAGATTTCCCATTCTTATTTGTATGATAGAATATCAAATAACTTGATTTTTCATAAATTTACAATAGAGAATACATGACAAATGTTATTGCTGATATTTCAATTTTGCTGTGGACACTTTCATGTCATATGGTATTTTTATACAAGTACATGACCTAATTATTTTATTTATTTGTACATGTATACATGTTTAACTACTTAATCTTTTTGCTGAAATCTTATAAGTTGTACTCATTTTAGAATATGTTAAATTCATGTATCGACAAATGCTACTGACTTGTTTGTATATTTTCTTGTTTAGAATGTACACTGTGAAAAATAAGTTATTTCTCTTGATGAAAATAATTTTATCAAAAAAGTTGTGTAAGCATTATAAGATATTTTAAAATATTTAACCAATGAAGATAGATCATTGTTGTAATGTAATGAATTTTCATCTAAAGCAGAAATATCTGATTTTTAAATGTGTACAAGAATGTGAAAAATATTGAAAGAGAAACACACATATGATGCCCCTTTCATATGATTCTCATATGTAAATGGCTTGAAACACACTTAAGTGTTACATATGATTTACATATGATATTTTCATATGATTCTCATATGTAAATGACTTGAAACACACTTAAATCATTCATATGCAAATCATATGTAGTTATTTTCATATGATTCACATATGTGGATCATATGTAAATCATATGATTTGCTTCATATGATTCACATATGATGCCCTTTTTCTATGATTCTCATATGAAACCAATCATATGAGAATCATATGATACTCATATGAGAATCATATGTGGCTAAGTTGGCTGTGTACCATCGGATAGAGCGTATCTGAAAATGGTTTACACGTAGTGTCAACTGATGAAATGAATTTCAGTCCATATAAATTAATTAGATAGATAAAAGTTGGGAATAAAAAAAAATCATCTATCCGATACCTTAAACTTTCATTCAAGAAGAACCCTCCGCGATCTAAAAATAATGTCATTTAAAAAGCTAAAATACGACAATATTTTGAATGAAAGTAAGTTTATCTTAATATATTAAATGACAACATTTAAAGTATATGTTATATTTTTTTTAACATTGTTACAATTACTTTATATGAAGAGGGAATGTCTACGTTATCGTTCGCGGCCTAGTAATACACAGTGTGAGACAGAAAAATCTCACACTGCTGTCTCACTCCGGACAAGTCAATCTTACACTGGTGATTATGCGAGAAATATCAGTCTCGTCCTTTTTTTCTGATGACGTAATTAGATATAGGTAGCATAGGTTTCTGATGAATATTTAGATATCAGTTTGGTCCCGGTTTTCTGATGACGTAATTACATGTAGTGTGGGTAGGTTTTTGATGACGTAATTACATGTAGTGTGGGTAGGTTTTTGATTAATGAGATATATGAAGATAACAAACAATATTCAATCTCAAAAGTCTCTTAAATAATACAAAATAGGAGCAGAACAAACACGGACCTCTGAATCTTCAAAAATGGGATCAGGTGCCATGAAGGAGTAAGTATGCCCTGCCGACCGGTTACACCCATCGAGTGTAAATAATAGACAAACAATGGGTATGAAAAACCTCAGTCAGCATTTGACTTGATACATTTTATTTGCTGACAAGGTCATTGTATCGACAATAGAAATAAAGAAATGATGAATTTAATTGAGACTGCTGATATTCTTGTTTTATCAATTTGTTTGTGAATAATTAAAAAAATGTAGAATTTGTACATACGTAGACAAAGTTCATGCGTATGGAATCAACTGGGAGATATAAACCTTTATGCAGGTGATAAAGGTATATTGCTTCATAAGTAAGGGGATTTGACGATTGAAAAGATAAAATAATCACATTTATCCTAAAGCTTTGTTTTAAGAGTACCGTTAATATCTTTTTCAAGTAAAATACCCAAATATGAAACAGATGTGTCAGACCCAGGGGTATTATTTATTTCAATCTCATTGGGATATATCGTATCGACATAGGATTGAAAATAATCATTGTTAATTGACAATACGTTGTCAATAAATCTAAATGTCAGTCTGTGATTTACAGTTGAAATTACATAAGGGCCATGCTAAGGTAAAAACGTGTAGATTGGTTCTGTTAGAGTATACTTTTTGGAACAGTATCAAAGAAAATAATCATTTAGGTATCAGGGTTTTATACACCCTAGGGTTTTTCTTTCTTATATATGTAGGAGGATAATAACTCTAATTGAAACAGATGACAAACTATGAAATTATCATCATTTACAGAAACAAACCCATGTAAATTTGGACAGCCTTTTCGGGTTAATGGAGAAACCCTAAACTGCCGTCAGTATGGTGTAAAGCAATGTTCTAAAGGTTACCAGTGTGTTGGAACAACAGAAACATCTACTGTTTGTTGTCAAGGTAATACTACTTTATCTACTCAGTTAATTGTTTCACTTTTATTAAAGTCTTTTACGACAACTATTTGATATGTTTGAAATATCATAATTATCAATAACTACTCAATGTTTATTACATATTTGAAAATAACGAAAACAATTGAACAAATTTCAATTTATAAACTGTTGTCAAAATGGGACAAAAATAAGATTACGTCCCATCACACTTTCTATGACTTATAACTCCATATTTAGATATATCGACGAGTATTTGTCAATAGTTATTTCTTATTGGAAATGTCTCCCCCAATAAGTAAGGGATGTTGAGGATCGGAAACGTGAAGTCATGACCTTTATCATAAAATTTTGTTGCAAGATTAAATTAACGTCTTTTTCTAGTAAAATATGCAAATATGAAACAAATGTGTCAGAGTCAGGTGTGCTTTTATTTCAGATTCACTGAGATATATCTAATTAACATATGAATAGGAATAACTATTGACAATTACCTAATCGATATATCTGAATATGGAGTTGTAAGTTATAGCAAGTGATTTCTTACTCTCATGTAGAAGTTTATGGGAAAAAATAGTTTAAAATAAAAAAATATAAAAACAAGTCTGCTAATAAAGGAGCACAGTTATTGCCTATCGAAATTCCTAAAGATTGTTCGAAGACCTGATCTCCAAAACCTACTCAGATATTATCAATCAAAGACTCAAGAATCATTTTAGTATCTTTAGAGTACTTGTGTGTACAATAAGATTGTTTTAAGGGGGACCTATGTCCGAAATTTAAATGCTTATTTTTACACAGGAGCACGTGCAAAAAGAGAGTGAAAGGCAAAAAGTAATTATTTTCAGACATCATTTTTGTACCAAAAATGTGCTTAAAGAACAAATTATGTCACATTGCATTCAAAATCAACATGTATTTAAACTATTTGACGTGTATCTTTAAAATGAAGACAAATTCATTGATATTTAAAATGTTAATATAACCCCATTCGCAGCACAGTTAAGGTTTTAAAAAATGGGCGGAGCCTTATTTGTACGGGAAAACTTAACTATGGCATCATACACCATATACGCCATACAACAATTTTTTAAAATACCACAAAATGAGATGATTTGCTAGTTCAACCTGTAAAAAATCATCAAACTACATCAAGACTTACTACAGTATGCTGTTTTGTCGCACGTTAAATCCCACAAAACAAGTTATAAGCAAGTCACTGATCGAAATACACTTGTCCATATGACGTCATTTCGTACAACGTGACGTAGTCTGTATGCAGTGAGAGGCACATCAAATATTTTTTTTTCAACGAAAAATGCGATATATTCTATATATATCAATGTCTTCTTCACTATTCTATTAATATGTTTTCTGTATATTACGTATTTAATTGACACTGCTGTATATTTGTATCCAAGCACATCGGTGGGTAATGTGGGGGTCTTAATAAATCGATCTACTGCAAGGACATACACTCAATGGATCATAATAAGCTTTTACAATTCAACTCTAGAAGTACAAAGGCATCTGAAAAGTGATGCCATTCTGATGAAATCTTTAAAATAATTCAATTATATCAATATTTCATGCCGTTGACTAACAAAAAATACAGCATTCGGTCATACAAATATAATTTAATCAATAAAATTGCAGAATTTAGATAGGATCGCAGCACTTTTCAGAAACTAAAATGTGTTTTGAAAATATTTTAAAACTAAACTTGGAATTTCAACTTGGTTATTTCGTTGTACTAGTGAAAATCTATAGGTAACATCATTACTGCAAGTAAACGTGCTAAAATCACGTGACTGTCGCATCACGTGACAAGTCTGAATATAAAATCTAATAGTCTTCAATATGTAGCTATTAACGATAATTACAATCATCCGATATAAATAATGTAGTAAAAAAAATCGCCATCCCGATTATGAATTCATTTTTAGTTACAAAAAATTGTCGATATTTTCAATGCGCACCTTAAGGATACTGCGTTTTTCTAGTCGTATCTTTAACAAATCTGTCATACATAAAAGGTAACATCTTAAAATGTTTGTGTGAAAAAGTCATAATTCATGTTTTAAAATAAACGAATATTGTAATTAATTCTATATAGAAGAAATGTACCTTTACAATAAAATATGAAAATATGAAGTTTTCTTTAATTTTCCTATTTGTCCTAATTATTGACCTTTCCGCTATAAGACAAAATCAAGTCAGCTCTGACGAACATCTGAGTATAAAATCATTTAATTGAAATTACGTACTCTGTTTTGATTAGTAACAACGTAGTACACTGATTAAATCTTTTCTACATAATTCTATCATTGCCCCCCCCCCCCTCAACCCCACCTTTCCACGTCAACAACCAACACATATTAGAACTTAGGAATGGCTTTATAATTAGATCTATTAATCAATAGTCAATAATAAAAATAAAGGCATAAATACATGAATATTAACATTTTTTTCCCTAGTTTTATCCGGAAAATACAATAAATACAGGGTGATCCAAAATATCTGATACCATTTCAAGTGATAATATTTCTTTTAAAAATCATGACACTCTTTATTGAAATATTTCAAATTTTAAAATATGTTATAACATTTTATACAATACATGCCACAGATTTTATACACATTCTTTTAAATAATAATACAGTCTCAAAAAATGCTGTTATTTACAGCACATGCTCTACGTGACGTCCATTTTGTTCAATCACGAGTTCGTCTTTTCTTAAAGTTATTGATCACATTTCTGGTGTAACTTTCCGAATTCCCCGGGTAATTGCTGATTTCAGATACTCAAAGGTGTTTGGCTTTAAAGTATACATCTTTTCCTTTGAAAATCCCCACAGAAAAATATTCTGTGGACTTAAATCAGAAGAATTTGTTTGCCAAACACAGTCAGTCCTGAACGAAATCAGTTGATTACTGAATGTTTTTACTGCAACCATCTAAGAACTTTTTCTGATGATGTGTCTGGGTTTCTTCATCTTGTAGGAAATAAACCATAGGCACTGTACAAGGAAAAAGTTTTATGTAATACAGTAAAGTTCTGTACACACTTCCATAACTGGGCCTATTTCCTGAATTTTTCATAACACTTCTCACTGATTTTTGTGATGTTTCCGTTATCAGTTCTTTAACAACTGCAACCGATTCAACAGTTTTCATTGTACTGAGCCTTCAATTATGCCTTTCAACGAGCATTTTCTCTTAAAACAGTCTTTTGAAATTTCTTCACTAACCTATTAAACTGCAGTACGTTTTATAAGCTTAGTGCCCAATGGATAACTTTTCTCATGATACGAATCACTGTTTTGGATGAATATGTCTCAAAATATAATTGGACAATTTCTGCAGCTCTCTGATTTGAATTCTCCATGTAAAAAAAAATAAAAGTTTTATGACGTCATATCGTCATGGCGACGTCAACTTTTTTCCGTTTTTCTATATTTATTAAAATGATAGGATAAGCAATTTAAAATGATGTATAAATGAAATATGTAGAATGATTATTGACAAAGTTATTGAAAGTCAAAGTAGTATCAGATATTTTGGATCACCCTGTATTAAACATAGAGGTAAACATATTTTCTTTATTGAAGCCGCTTTCTTTGCTGAATTTTATCTTATCTTTTTTTAACTTATGTCAGCATATTATTGAGGTTTTTCTTCACAACTAAAATTGCTATGAATTATCAACCAACGGTAGAGCATTCTTATACTTTATAAATCAAACCAAACGGTTATTAATGATGTATAAATTTTGTTTTTGTAAATTGTGTACATTATTGACTATTAACAATCTTAGGCCTATAATGCAGTTGCAAAGGTCAACAGGTATAAAATTAACGTCGATATTGTGACGTCAAATACCTCTCTTCTGACGTAGAATGGCATATGTCCCACCCTTAACAAAAAAATTTCGCAAATGACAGATGACAATGTACGTTTTGAAAAGTTTGACGTAACGTCCAGTTAGGCATGTCACGTCACGTTTGGTGACGCTTAAATGTCAACACAACGATAAATCAGTTTCCTCATATTCACACTCATTTTCACACATCCAACATATTTTTTCTCTGTATACCTTACGTACTAAAACGCACAACAACTTTACACATGACATGTATCAGTGTAAATTATTAATGAATATGGGTAGGGGTGTTTGTTACCTATATTTTCCCAAAACTAAATTGACATTGACTTTAATGAACAATAACGAATCATTAACAGAATAAGTAAACATCTAGAAAAAATAATACGACTCGATTAAGCTAATTAAACAATTAATGGGCTCATTGTTCTTTCTTTTGACATTCAGCACTTTTCATTCCTCACAGCTATCAGACTTAAAATAAAAATGAATTAATTAATTTGTCCCCTGCATTTTTAGATAACCGATTTTATAAAAACTGTCAATTTAACGTTTAAATTAACTTTTTTGTTTTGAAAATTCCAACAATATCACATATTTTTACATGTGATATTCAATTACATGTACTTTTATTAAGGAAGCAGTACATAGATTCCCGGAGCTTTTGGATCAACCCTTGTATAATTTACGTCTTTAAAAAGAAAACAATGACTTAACATTGTCAAAACTGACCTGCCTTAAAAAATGTATTCTTATTTATTTTTGAAAGTTTTGTTCTTTTTGAGTAATGTTTAAAAATTACTACGAGGGACATTTCAAAAGTCCTGAGAACTATTTAATAAAAATTAACCGTTTCACGGAAATTATTAAGTTTGGTATTATTGGAAAGATCAGAAAAATATACACATAATTTGACGTCACTTTAAATTTTTTATGACGTAATATATCCGAAAATGACGTAAGAGTATAGAATGTTTAGCATACTGAAAAGTCGCGTTTTTATCCACATGAGATACTGTAAAAAGTGCTATCAAAGGCTTATTTGAAAAAAAAAAACATTTCAAAGAAAATTTTTATTTGCAAAGAAGTAGAGTAGGAGTATGATACTGTTTATCAAGAATTCTATATTTCATTTTATGCATTGTTTACTAGCATGGTTTATGTCCCGTTATGCTATTATCGATATTCATTTAAGATTTTAAATTATATAATACGACTGGATTTTCGGTCTTTTATTAAGCTCTCCATTGTATGAAATAAAACATGTTCTTTATAAAACTGAAGTATATTAATGCAGTTTTCAACAAATATATTTTAAGTAACGGTACTCTTACCGTTTTCAAATAAAATGTATAAAAGTCTTGCCCCTGACTTGTTTATTTATGTGCGTATTTTTTCTTATTAATTCAACTTCGGCGCCCCTGAAGTCACCACTGCTTTTGACTTCTGACTCCAAAAAAGGTTTATGTTTTAAACAGACATGTAAAATATTATTTAATTTCCTTTAATTAAAATTTGCGAATATGTGGAGGTACGGTAGGGTTACAACTGCGCCCGCGCCATTTTGGATTTTACGAGAAAATGGAGCACAGTAAGCTTAACTTCTCTTGAGCCTTCATCGATCCCACAGATCTGTTTAAAACACCTGACGAATTGATGCCATCAAATTTTGTAACATGGTCGTCTATTTTTCTTTAATTGTCAATTTTGTCTTTTTCTCACAGTTAGGTCTGTTTTACCCAATATTTTGTGAGAGATTCGATAAAAACATGCGATGTTTGACAATCGCTTAAACCATTTCAAAACAAGAAGATCTCCGAAATAGAACACCATTTGATAGATCGTAGTCTATGTAAACATTCCATCAACTGGTATTTGTGCCTGATAGCTTGCGCTTGAGTAATGAGAAAAGTTGTTTTTAAAATTTAAATTTGATCAAATTTTGTCTTTTGTAACGTCATTTCTATGGCCAGTATCGTAAGCATGCGGATTCATTACGTCAAAAAAATTATAAAGTGACGTAACAATATATGTATATTTTTCTGATCTTTCCAATGATATCAAACTCAATAATTTCAATATGGGTTAATTTTTTATTAAACAATTCTCAGGACTTTTGAAATGACCCAAGTATCTATTACATCTAAATTTTCTCATCTTTCGTACAGTCCATACAAATGATGTAAATATTCCAAATAGTTGTCTTAGATGTCATGGATCGCCATTTAAAGATTCCATTGATCTCAGTGAACCTGAGAACCCGCCACCTTTTCATGATCTAACAAGTGAGGAAATTAAAGCAATTTTCAAATTCATGTTCGCACAAAAAAGTTTAAATTTGACAATGCAGAGTGAGGCAACTTTGTCTTCAAACTACATTTACACCATGGAATTAATTCTTCCTAAAAAGAAGTACATCGAAATTAATCATCACAGACAATTGAAACGGAAAGCGTTGGTCACTGTATTTCATGGAGGAAAAGTGAATCCTATTGTAGCAGAGTACTGTGTAGAGTTAGCTCCACGTCCAAGATTTTGTGGAATACCTAAGTACATCCCATTTTCCTTCAGACCACCAACAAATACAGAAACATCAGCAGCTATTGAGGTTCTCATAGCGGAGACTAACAGGCTAGCAGGGGATATTTTGTTTGAGAGTTTTGAGGGTTCTCTAGTGAACTGTAGAAACAGGTGTCTAGGGTTTCAAATGATTATTCCTTATGCTGCAATAATTTCGGAAATTCGAGATGAAGGATTTCGAGGTTTCTGGTTTCCTTTTTTTCAAAGAAGACGCCCAAGTACCCCAAATCCTGTTGATTTTGTTGTTCTTGTCACCATTAATGGGACGGCTACACCACAGACTGCAGATGTATGGTACAATGGCCAACTGTTTGATTCGCTTCAATCATTTAGAAAGGCTTGGTTAAGAGGAATGGTGAAAAAACTTCACGTGAGTTTCCCCTCAGACCCACTAGCATCTGAAGTGTTTCCTAGACATCCACAAAGGCCTCCAACACAAGCAGAACCGGACGGAAAACGTTACTCAATTAAAGGTCAGTCAGTTCACTACATGAACTGGGAGTTTCAGTTTGGAGTATCACCCACTCATGGTCCTCAGCTTTTCCAAATAAAATTCAAAAAAGAAATGATAGTTTATCAGTTAGGTCTCTCAGAAATGACAGTTTTCTATTCGTCATCGGAACTATTTGGTAGATTTGCCAATTTTTTTGACAGCCTAGCTTTGATTGGAAACAGAATTCAGACATTAGTTCCGGGAGTTGATTGCCCAACTCACGCAACTTTTGCCGATTCAAAGTTTATGTCGGAAACTTCAGATATGTCAGTGATAAAAAGGAACTCAACATGCGTATTCGAACATAATACTGGAATACCACTGAGACGACATTATATAGCAGACGACTATCCATCTGGTTATTACGAAGGTGCACCCAATAACGTGCTTGTTCTCCGAATGATTTTTACTCTTGCAAACTATGACTATATTTATGACTTTATATTCTACAACAATGGAGCAATGGAGACTAAAGTAACAACAACAGGGATAGTTTTGCCGTCCTACGTCCAGGACAGTTATAAATATGGCTTCCAGATAAACGAACAAGCTACAGGCATGCTTCATCATCACATGTTTAATTTTAAGGTAGATCTTGACATTGGTGGCACAAAAAACAGCTACTCCACATACGATATACGTGAAGAAAGTGTTCCAAACCAATATCTAAAGGGAAGGTATCCCCAAAAATGGCTCCAAACTAAAATTATTAAAGTAGATTATGCCACGGAGAGAGAAGCCGCTTTTAGATATGATATTAGCCAATCCCGATATCATGTATTCTACAATGAAAATAATA